AAAAAAAAAAAAAAAAAAGAAAAGGAAATGAAAAAAAGTCTAGCTTGAGGATTGATAAAGGTAGATGTTTCAAACAGCTGTTTTTAAATATGATTATTAAGCATCCAGTTGCTTGGTCAGCAATTTCCTTATTCATGTAGTTTCTAATTTCTTCTCTCCTACTCTTGTCTCCTTGCATTAATTTCAGATATTAGCTTGAAAATGTCGTTCCAAGAACTGTTGCTTGCAAGAGCTCTATAATAGGAAAGGGAAGACAAAGACTTTCATCTATCAGTTGGGAGAGAAAGAAAGAGCATAAAGAGTTAAAAAGAGGTTTTTGTTTCTACCACATGCCCATTGTGTGAGCATATGCATAAGTCTATTGAAAGTTTTCAGGAGATGGGCAGGCCACCAGTTGCTGGTCTCCTGCAGTTCCAGGAGACATCTGTTGCCCCAGAGCTTTAACCAGTCTGTTCAAAGGGACATCCTTCCTTTGTTAGCGAGGGGGCTGCAGACAACAGCACTCACTCAAATACAATGGTAATTAAATACACAGAGACTACAGCAGTAGGTATTTATTACATATTCATTATATGATTTTCATTGTTCTCATAGTATTACTATTTGAATAACAACCAGAAGCCACTTTTATGGCATTGTAGCTTTACATTACAAACAAATAAATTGTCTTAACAAGTTTTATGGTCTAATATTCCTGATTAATAGGAGCCTCTTTAGATATTAGAGAAATCTTTTTTTTGCCTAGTTTGAGATGAAGAATTATCTGAGAATTTTCAGAAGACCTCTTTACTAAATGGAGGAATTCCAGCATGTGCAATACATTTCTAGTAAATTGCCACTATGTCATAAGTTTCCAGTCAACTATTACAAAGTTTTTTGGCATTTAAAAAAATGAATTACATTTCATTATCATTTACAGAATTAGTTTGATAATTTAGTTCAACAAATACTGTAAATTTTAGATAGCTTTTAACAAGAAACATTGAGTTTCCAGTGCAGTGTCTGGAATCTATAGATTTAAAATTGTTGAAATCTATTTTATATTATTGTGGGTTTTGCCCAAGACCTTTTGTGTTCAAGAATACATGTAAAGGCCAATTATGAAGGATCCCTGATAGAAGGAGTAAAAGGCCGTATTTCTTGGAGTTGTGTGATAACTATGGGAGTATACACTGACCTACTTTTCATGTGAAACTTCACTGTGGTGGTTTTTTTATGAAGTGAGGGTACTGACTTTTATCAGTTAATTATTTATTTGATTAAGGTGATTTATTTAAGTGTGCATTTGAGTAAATTCAAAACTTAAAAGCCTAAGCCATGCATGATTTAGAAATTAAAAGAACTTTGTACCCTACGTATAATAGGTACAAACATTGTTTTTTGTGATGTTATGGGAGGGTTTTTTCTTTTTCAGAGTTGTATTGGTTATTTTGAAGGTACTAAATAAAAATAAAGATCATATGCCCTTCTTTATTCTAAAGTTTCTTGTAATAATTCCTTATGTTTTTTACATTCAGTTACATTAACAAATACTGTAGCCTATGAATGTACTTGTACTTGTTTTTAAAACTTTGAATTAGTGTTTAATTATTGAATGATTTTTTAAAAAAAAAATTGCCAAATTCTGAATCATTTTTAAGTGCATTGAAAATCAGGGCAACCTTTTACTAATTATAAGTTGATATGGAAGCATCCTAGAGATAAAAACTTTAAAAACTAAATCTTTGCTATTTGGGTCAATACAAATTAGGTTATTTCAAATTTATGTGATCCTATATATGTGAGATACATATATTTATTAGAGAGATAGACAGATGGAGAGATAGAGAGATAGATAGATAGATAGATAGATACCTGCCTAGAGAGTGAACTCATTTTTTTCTTATTTGTACTGCTTGTTTTACAGGTGGTAAAAGTCATTTAACTGCTTGTTTAGTACAAGATAAGATTAGATAACTTTCTCTGAGCTAACCAGTGAAAAGAGGCCTGTCAGTGTGAGAAAATTCAACCAGAATATTTTAAAATGAAAGTTATATTACCTAATAAAATTGTGTTAATCTGAAAAAATAGGCCAACTTAACATTTATTTTTAGCATTAAATGTCAGCTTGTTATAAAAAATTTATTAAATATTAGGTACAAATTACATGAATTATTACAAGTTAAAAGTATCTGATGGTCACTAACAGTATTTGTATACAAGATAGTCTTGGTATTTACTATTACAAAAACAACCAATGATAATCCAGTTTTCTCACTATTTTCTAGACATATAACAAGTATATAGTAGAGGAGATTTAGGTAATACCATTGGTATCTTAAAATACTAGCTTGGTGTTGAAACAGAAAGATTGAAATACTTCTTTCCTGTGGTTAATTTTCCATTTAAAAACTTTACAGTGTCTGGTCTTATTTCTTTGAAATATGGAAAATTAAGAAAATTCACTTATCTTTTCAACAGAACATTTCATTCTAACATCCCTTACTGACTGTATTCTTCATAAGTATTCATCTTGTCTGATACATTCTCCCCCCACAAAAGAACACACTATGGCTCAATATTAAAATAATATTTCCTAGTTCAATTCAGGGAGTTGGTCAGCAAGTCATTATCTTGGAGAATTATCTCACAACAGCACTTATGCAAAACCCAAACTTTTCAGGGGAGATCAGAAATGTTGCCCATTAAATGCACTTCCTGCAGTCAGAGCAGATTGTGGGGTTTGCAGAACAATGATGTCGGAGCTTCCAGATTGGTTTGGCAGCTGCATTGTTCTCAGAGGGTAAACCAGACGCACTTAAGTCCCAGTCTCTTTTATAGGCTTTTGTTCATACCAAATTATTCTTTCACTGTGCTAGCATTCATGATGGCATGTTAAAGGAGTGCAGCTTAGCAACCAGCTTCTGGTTGCCAGGCAGCTCAGCTTCCAATAGATTTTCCTTGTTTAAGATACTTTCAGTGGGAGCTCTACGAAGGCCACAGTGTAGGTTTTTCTTTTAACTGTATCCTTTTATTAGGATGCTGTTGTGAGTTGTTACTTGCATTATGGTGTTAGTATATTACAGTAGTTAATAAATCAGAGGGTGTAAGGATTTGCTTTCAAAATCCTTTTCTTAATTCTAAATAATTGGACTCACACATATCCATATTAATAGAAAAAACTGAAATGGTTGCAGCTTCATAATGGAGCAGATGTATACTTTAAGGGATATTTCCTTTTATCCGCAAAACAACCAGGAACTAGGAAAGTTGGATGTTTCTCTAAAACTAAGGAATGCTTTAATAAAGAAAATGATATTAAAGCTAATTCACCTTCTGAGAGAATAAACCGTGAAGAGACTTCTATACAAGTGAGTAGTTCTTCTACACGAGGGAATTTTGAATGCACTACTAAAGAGTCCATGTTATTGTCTCTAGTATTTCCCATAGTTAGTCAAATTTATTCATTATGTAGAAATACTTGACTCGCTAATAAGCAGATGAGTATGCTTTCAAATTTGTGACTTTTCAGAAAATCACTTAATATTTTCTTTTAACATTTGTATAATACCTCTTTTCTAGTGTATGCGTTATGTTAAAATGTTTCAGAATAAAGTATTTTTCCCAGTTTTCATAAGTCATTTTAATATGTGCTTTGTAACGGTCTCAAATTCTGCTGCCGCTGGCTTCCTACTGTTCCACCAGAGCAGAACGCCGGAGTCCTCTAAATCACTGAACCACTGGTGCTTGTATCATCCTTGGAATGAAGCACATGAAAAAATAACTTTAAAACAGTTATTTCTAATAGGCATGAAGGGAACAATAGTAAAACAGCTGAAACATTTTAAACAGTAAAAATGATCCTATAGGGGAAAAATAGGAAAAAAGATAAATTTTGATGAAATACAGATTAACTGTTATTAACTAGATGTAATACAGAAGTATTTACATTCATAAAACTCAAGCAGCTGAGATAACAATTTAATTCACTTAATTATTACTGCTAATTTTATGTGAAATATTCAATTTCTTTCTATATATGCACATAAGTTTAGAGAAACTTTTCCCCTGGGATGAAATAGACTGTACTGTCCCTGCCATTTAATAAGGATAGCATAATATTAGACATTATATTCAGTTACTGTATGCAGCATTAGTAAAATCATAATTATTAGACCAAAACTATATTCATTTCTGGGATACAATAAACTTTATAATTACTTAGTTACTTGTTGGCCATTTTGGAATATATATTTTTCAGTATCTAAATAGTTTTGAAAGTAATTTAGATTGTTAAGATTTATCAATTAATTTTTCTATGTGATTTTCTTTTTGTTTTTATAGTCTTTTTTATTATTTAAGTTTGCTAGTACATGTGTGTAGTATATAATGTTTGTATTCCTTGTGGGCAGTTGGTATATGTACATAACACATGTTAATTCATTTTTTTGTCCCCTTTCCCTTCCCTTTAAAAGAATTTTTGGAGACTTTTATGTATTCTTTTAAACAAAATGTATATAACCTGTCATGATGTATCCAAAACATGCTTTTATAAAATATAATGCTTCATGTGTCATTCTAGATATGTACGTGCAAAATCTCTTCCATCAAGGTTAAGCAGTAGTATGACATAGTGGAGCAGGGATGGATTTCTGAGTGAGACAAAATCTAAGTAAAAAAATCCAGTTTCACTACTTACTAACTTGATCGTCTTGAAAGAATGAGGTACATGGCCTTTCGAGTTTGTAACTCCCATCCAAGTACTAACCAGGCCCGACCCTGCTTAGCTTCCGAGATCGGACGAGACCGGGCGCGTTCATGGTGGTATGGCCGTAGACTCTAGTTTGTAACGTCTTCATTTGAAAAAAAAAAAATCACAATATGGTTTTGGCTAGTGATAAGTGGATAGAAACAAAAATACGCACGAGGTATTCCCTGGTTTGGCAGCTTTCTTCTGATTTATCCACTGAGACAAATCAAACATAAATATGAAATTTTAAATATTTCACATTTTTCTCTAGGAATACGGGGTACTTTGCATTCAGGAGTACAGAAAGAACAGCAAAGTGGAGTCAAGTACATGTAACAGCTTCATGGGCTTAAAGGACCACCTGGGGCATGACCTCGGCCACCTTTACGTGGAGAGCACCGACCCACAACTAAGTGCAGCTGCTCCTTGGCCAATGGTAGAAAAATCAGCAATGGATACGGCTCATGCCAGGAAGGAGGAAAAGGAGGTGTCCGAAGAGAATGTGAGCTCTGGTGATTCGGAAGAAAGCACAAATTCTGATCATGAGGCAGAACAATTGAGTAGCATCTCAGGAGAGCCGTGCTTAGTAACCAAGACTCACAGACAATTATGTAGGTCTCCCTGCTTAGAGCCTCACCTACTCAAATGTAATGAAATTTTGCAAGACATTAAACCTGAAGAGTCCCAGATGCCGTCAAAGGAAGTCAAGAAACCCCCTGACGTGGTGCGAGAATACCAAACAAAACTGGAGTTTGCACTGAAGTTAGGTTATTCGGAAGAACAAGTTCAGCTTGTGTTAAACAAACTTGGTACCGATGCTTTAATCAATGATATTTTGGGAGAACTTGTCAAACTTGGAAATAAAACTGAAGCTGATCAAACAGTTAATACCATTAGCAGTATAATGCGGGAAGCATCTTCTCTGGAATCTCAGAGATCTGAATCTCCAATGCAAGAGATCATGACCGATGATGGTGAAAATCTGAGACCAGTAGTCATTGACGGCAGCAATGTGGCCATGAGGTAAGTAAAAAAATCTTCACTGAAAATTATTACTCAAGTCTTTAAAAACTATTTCTAATTCTGACTGTTTACCTCATCAGCATCATTACAGTCAACTTTACTCTGCATCCCAACGTTGGCTTTAGTAAACATTATTTTTCCGTCTTTTCAGCTATCTGTATATTCATGCCTGACACCCTTTTCTCAGATACCTCCTTTTTCCTCATGTGACTAAATTACTATAGCATAAAAATTAGCGTGATAGTATTTGATGAGTGATACTCAGTGATTTGGAATCTAATCAAATAGTTTATTTCCACATGAAGTTGAATAACCTTAAAAAAAACTGTTAATTCTTCTAGAAAGCAAACTATTTTATTGATTTGGGAACAAATCTAAGCCATAGTTGTAAGGTTTTTTTTATTCCAGTCATAAAATGCAATTAAAAATAATTTTTTAGCAACTGAGGAAAAAAGAAACAAAGGCAAATCTTCTGATGAAATTTTTAGTGCATTTGATGACTCAGAATTCAAAGCACATCTGAATAGTTAATTTGGGAATAAAAAGGTACATGAAGACTCAAGTTTTCTGGAGAGCTGGAGTTGCATATTGTTTCTCAAAAAGTCATTGGAAGATCTCTAACCAAGAGAACTTACTGAACACAGATTTTTTAGCTGTGCTGATCTGTGGAATACAGTGCACAAGACATCTCATTTTACTTCCTAGTACCTATATTAAAAAGTAAAAAGAAATAGGTAAAATTGACATGAATAATACATTTTATTTAGACCAATATAGCTAAAATATCATTCTAGTAAATCATCAATTTTAAAAATCACTAATGAATTATTGGGCGTTATTCTTCTAATAGTCTCTGAGATCTGGTGTGTGTCTTACATTTATAGTGTTGCCCTACACAGACCTAACAGGTCAAGTAAAAGTGGAGCCCAGGCATTCATTTTTAAGAAGTTGACCTTCTGATAATGATGTGTATTGAAATTTGAGAACTGCTGTCTTCAGTCGGTGATAACAAGTTCTTACACCCAAAATATGATGTGGATCAGTGTGTAATTGTCCAGATAGCCTTTCTAGATGGAGGCAATATTATCTTTTTTCTTATAAACAACTTAGACTTACATGGTTCATATTACTCACCAAGGTTAAACATATTCAAGCTCAAGTACCGCATGTCTGAGATCAAAGCCTACACTCTTATTATATAATAAAAAAGAAAAAACGAGATTGCCATGGTTCGGGCCAGATCTGACCAGACCTTGAGTACTAAACCAGAGAATTTAAATTTGGCTTTGCAACCCAAGGGTAATTAGGTTTTGAGGAGGAGTGTCAGGAGTAGAAGTGTGCCTCATATGATAATGTGGCAGTGATATGTAGAGGTAGGAGATAATTTGGGTGCAAGCAGCCCTTTTTAATCAAGTAAGGAGAGTCTTAACAACTGTTATAGACATATGAAGAATACTGTACACGTGGTGTTGAGAGGTTGTCCAGTAAGATAACCTCTCTGTTGTTTGATTTTTCCCAAACTTGGCGAGAGAATGATTTTCTCCTTGCAGTAATCCATATAACACTGAACAGTTGCCTTACTGACGATGTGTAAGCCCAAAAGCTATAAAATTGGGAAAGCAGAATAGTGAAGGAAGGTTATAGAGATTCTTAAAGAATACAGTTCCTACTGGGGATATAGCTCAGCGGCACAAGTGCCTGCCTGGCAAGCACAAGGTCCTGAGTTCGACCCCTGGTACCCACCCCAAAAAAAGAATACAGTTCCTACAGCCATGGTTATATGTCAGACTTACCATCAGAGTTCTTAAAAATACACCTTCCAGCCTTCTACCCTTAAAGTGTCTGATTCAGTGGGACTGTAGTTGAGCTGAAATAATGACATATTTTTTTAAAATGCCACAGTTATTTCTGATGGATAGCCAGTGTTGAGAACCATTTCACACTAAAAGTACTGTAGTATCTGTAAGTCAGAAGGTAAAAGAAAGTGAGACCTAGGGAAATAATAGTAAATAGCACTAGTGTCAGAAAAAATAATGCTAGAAAAACCAAGAGATATGGAAATGTCATCAAAAGGAAAGAGAGCGTTGTATTAAAAAAAAATGATCAGAAGGCACAATATACAAGAAGTCATTGTTTTTAAGAACGTCATAGGTATTAAAGATAGAAGCTCAGTTGCTAAATGTTCAGAATTGAAAGATCAGATCTACAGACTATTATTCTAAAAGGTGGGGAGAGGATGGGAAGGGTGAAGGAAGGAGAATTGGGAAACGATTTTGGTTTTGTTTCTAAAACTGAAAGTCAACTGAGAGGACGGGTGAGGAGAAGAAGGGCGCAGCCCCGTGAGACAAGTTTGATTTTCAAAGCAGTATTGTGAAGGAGGAGACAAACACAAAATTTGAAATGGGGGGAGGTATGCTTTTGGATGAACAGAAACAAGACCTTTAAGAAGGAAAAAAGCATGAGATTTACAAAAAGTGAATTTTAAAGATGGATGTCATTTAGATAAATGATGTCACATTTGCACCAGCCTCCTAAACTCATGTAATTCAAACCTAGTACCCAAAAGAAAGATCTAGATAACTGAAAATTCACACAGAGCTCTGAACTTCACTTGTCTGGCAAGGTGAGAATTATTTACAGGAGATCTGTAATACAAAAAGGCAGGTGGCGTCATGAAAGCATTTTGAACAATTCTTACATAACAGACCTCTTCCCATACATAAGCTTAGCACCGTTCTGTGCCCCTGGCAATAAAAAATAGGACTGTGCAGATTGATTTCTTCTCTACATCTAATAGTTTGGCCTGACACTTAAACTGAAGTGCTTTAAGCGTTTTAGGAGGGAACAAGTTGACAAGAAATTTTTATTATGGCAGCATTAAACTGTCAGTCTCAATAAAATGTACCATGGCCATAATTTTGAAAGCACCAAACTCATGAAAATTTATAGTGAACTTTTACATTCTACTACTTGTAGGTTCTACCTAAAGTAACAAAGTTACTTAAAAAAAAATGTACTTCAGGTCCCAAATCCTAATACAACAAAAATACAGAGATTCATAAATATACTTTTGTAATTAATTTCCCATTCATGTCAAGTTTAGCAAGCCTGTTATCTGTAATAAATGTACACATACAGTATAGTGATTATATATGGTAAGTAAAGGTTTAGAATAAGGTACCATTCTATTTCCTTTATCGCCCAGATTCTCTGTATAAGAGAATGTATTTTCATGTAAGTGTCGTACATACAACTGATAAAAATGAATCTTTACATGTGAAATAAATGTAGGAAAGCAATAGCTTTTTAAAATATATTTAATTCTCTGCGTGCTACTTCTGTGATTGTTATCAAGTTGTTTAAATTCTCCAGCCTACAAAAAGAGAAATTCTCACTCTACAGGCTCATTACAATTAGAGAGAGCATATACCACACGCTTGGCATGTATAGGCATAGCAATTTAACAGTCCCTCATATCCTTATGAATAAATTTCATAGAGCATACTTGGCCTTTTAAAGCTGAGAGGACTCCAAAATTGTCCCAGAATATGTACACACAGCATAGGTCTCAAAGTTGCAGTGATCCTGTGTTGCCTTGAGTAATATTTTCTTCTTTGGATTCATTAGCTTCTTTTTGTTTATGTACCACATTGATAGGCATCAAGTAAGTTTACTAAATAAGCAATTTACTAAAAATATGAGACAAATATTGGAACTTGATCTAACACAGTTGTGATAGCTTGTTTACTGCGAGGTATAAGATCAATAAGGACATAAGTGTACAAAACTAGAAGAGTAAGTTTAATGAAAGCCTAAATTTGCATATAAATTATGCAATTTAAGAAGTATTTGGTTTTGAAATGTAGCACAGAACAGAATTTATATTTAGTGGAGCTAGACCAATATTTTCTGACAAAAGGCTACAACTACTTTGAATTCTAAAACTCCTCAGTAATTTAGCAAATAGACCATTCAACAAATAGACTCTCTTCCTTACAGCAAATAGTCCTCCTTCCTTAATAGGGCAAATACTTCTTAGTGTAGCTATGCCAGGAAATTGATACTCCTGCTAGAGACATGGAAAAAAATATGATTGATATTTATCATATTGCTAAAATGAAAGTCTTTATTATTTCTGTCAAGTAACTTCATCATTCTTCAAAATCTGTGATTCCATTAAACTTGGGATAGGTCAGCATGAGAATAGAGAATGAGTCTGCATCTACATATGTCCCCATTATGTTAAATGCATAGTTTTCCTTAAGTGGCTAGTCAAATGGTGCACACCTGTAATCCCAGCACTCAGGAGACTGAGGCAGGAGGATTGCCACAAATTCAAGGGCAGCCTGGACTACATAGTTAGTTTAAGCCTAGCCTGAACTACATGCAAGACCCTGTCTTAACTAAAAGATATATATATGTATGTATGTATGTATGTATATATATATATATATATATATATATATATTTCCTTATACTATCATATATTTCCTTAAACTAATCCAGCGCTTTTTTTTTTTTAGGTTTTCCAGTGGTTTTATGTTTAGATACTTATTATATCATTAAGAAAGTACAAATTTGGGCTGGGGGTGTAGCTCAGTGTAGAGCCCGTGCTTCACATGTGTGAGGCCCTGGGTTCAGTCCCCAGTACTACAAAAGAAAGAGTGTGGAGAGAGGGAAAAGGAAGAAAGAAAGGAGGAGGGGTGGAAGGAGGAATAAATAAAGGGAGGGAATGAAGATCTTGTGAGGCGTGAGGAATGAGAATATAGATCGATGCTAGTGTCCTTTGATTCCTAAAAGTATTTGATGTCTTCAGTATGCATCCATGACCTAGGAGTCTGACTTTATTAAAATTAACTAAAATTTCACATTCTACCTCAGTTCCTTCCAGAGTTCATGTAAAATAAGAATGGGAAGTAGAAAGAAAAAACCCAGAGCTTTATCACTGCCTCGCCATGACGTTGTAGCACAAACTGAGTGCCGGAATGGAAGTTAGGCAC